CTCAACCAGGGAAACGAGGTAGTCTCTGGTGTTAGTATTAGCGCCACCAGCTGGACCGAGTGTTGTACTACAGCACAATTTCCCTGGCACGGTTCAGACAATACGTTCGTGTGGCCGCGGGCCGTTTTCACACCCCTGTGGCGACTATCCGGGCCACTTGGCCCAGTTCGTTTGTAAAAACCTATGTGACCTTGCCCTAAGAAACATAGCAGCTACTTATTTTGTATATACGCATGTGCAAATGTGTTTTTTAACATTTTCCTGCCCTGTGGCCATTTTTAAGAAGCCCTCGGTTTTTTTCATAATGGCCGCCTTAGTTTAAATGGCAGATTAGCGTGACTATAGCCATTAATATTTACAGCCTATGGTTGAGTACAGATAAAAGAGTAGCTCTCTGACATTTCTGTTAAATAGAACCCATGTGTTTTAGTATCACGCTTGTGGCAGAATTTCAGATCTGACAATAGTGACTGAAACACCTAACAAAGGCAAGGCAAGGCAAGGCAAGTTTATTTGTATAGCACAATTCATACACAAGGCAATTCAAAGTGCTGAACAGAACAAGAAAGCATTAAAATCATAAATAATCACAGTACATAGATAAAAATATAAAATCCCTCAGTTGTATGCACAGCTAAACAGAACCGTCTTTAACCTGGTTTTAAACATTGTCAGAGAGGAGGCCTGTCTCACATCTTCAGGAAGACTGTTCCAGATTTTAGCAGCATGAATCTGAAAAGCAGCCTCCCCATGTTTAGTTCTGACTCTGGACACTAACAGGAGTCCAGTCCCTGTGCTCCTCAGAGTCCGGGCTGGTTCATATGGGACTAACATGTCACTAATATATTTTGGTGCGAGGCTATGGAGAGATTTGTACACAAGCAGAGCTGTTTTAAAGTCTATTCTCTGAGCCACAGGAAGCCAGTGCAGGGACCTGAGGACTGGACTAATGTGATCGTACTTCCTGGTTCTAGTCAGGACTCGAGCTGCTGCATTTTGAATGTACTGCAGCTGTTTTACAGCCTGTTTGGACAGACCTGTGAGCAGGCCATTGCAGTAGTCTAACCTACTGGAGACAAATGCATGGATAAGAATCTCCAAGTCTGCTTTAGACACTATGTTTTTGATCCTGGCAATGTTTTTTAGATGGTAAAAAGCTGCTGATGTTACTGATTTGATGTGGCTATTAAAATTTAAGTCTGAGTCCAGTATTACCCCTAGATTTCTGACCTTGTTTGAAGGTTTTAGGGAGAGAGACTGTAGGTGACAGATGACGCTCTCTCTTTGTTTCTGGGGACCAAAGACAATAATTTCAGTTTTGTCTGCGTTTAGCTGAAGGAAGTTGTTTTGCATCCACTCACTGATCTGTTGGATACAGTGAAGGAGTGAGTCCACTGGTCCATTTTCTCCACAAACACAACTAGCAATGTATATAGGACAAGTATTTTGTAGTACCCTTTCATAGAACCATACAATGTAATGTACCACACAAATTGTGTTATGATGTAATATTCTCCACTCGTGACAGCGCAGCAGTTTTCTTCCCACTTTTCTCTATCTCCAATTCAGTATTAAGTGTGTATATAACAGCTCTACCTCCACCAAGAAGATGACAACTCTTTTCTCCACTAGTATATGACAGACTGACAGAGTGGGCACATTTATCAGATTTTTGTGATCTCAAAATCCTCTAATGTAAAAGTCCTGCTGGGTTTTTTAGAAGGATGTGGAGAGGATTCAGAATATAAATGAATGTCTAGACAGTGGAATCTGTCGGCGGCCGCATCACATCGCCACCAAATTACTGCTCTCAAAGAGAAAGAGGCCGAAGCACAGGACACGCAATTTAAAGGCTTTCATTGAAGCTTAAAATCTTTTTGATGAGTCTATTATTATGCGTAACAAAATCTTGCTTTGTTCTTGCTAATGATTTCCTTTGGGGCTAAAACAATGTTACTATCCAATGCGAAAATACCAAAACTATTATGTATAAAGCCCATGTCATACCACTCACTATTCTAGCCACTTTGAAAAGAAATGACAAAGAAAACTACTTGTTTTTTGCTTTCACAAACACGTCTGGAAGGGCTATTGATTTGCCACAATTGTCCACACCATGATTTGAAAAGTTCCATTTTGGCAGAACCTCAATAACTCTTATGTAAGCTACAGTCTCCAACCTTTTTCCTTGGAGAGCTACTTTTTTCAGGGACAACACTGGCAGAGAGCTACTCCTTTCAGGCAGTCGACAAAATGTTGTTCTATAAATTAGTTTTTATCTTGATTTGCAAACAATATGACATTCTTAATGGAAAGAAACAATGGAACAACCAGCTTTAGAATTACTTCAAGCAAAGATTAAGCAAATATATTACATCTTCTATTGGCAAATCTTGTCGCCAATTGTAGCGTAATAGTATACCCCTAAAACAATCATAAAAATCTATATATTTACTCAGGCCAACAACCCGGGCCAAGCGTGCCGCGGCCCGGGTTTTTACTTCTGCAACAACCCGGGTCTGGGAGGAGTTAGGAGAGCTGCTGACCTCGACTGGGGATATTGTCGGGCGGTGGAAGGAATACTTCGAGGTTCTCCTCAACCCCCCCGTCACGTCCTCCGTCCCGGAGGCAGAGGCTGAAGATGTTGGGGCGGATACTTCCATCTCCCTGGCGGAGGTCACCAAGGTGGTTGGCAGCCTCCTTGGTGGCAAGGCGCCGGGAGTGGATGAGATCCGTCCTGATTATCTAAAGTCTCTGGATGTTATGGGACTGTCTTGGTTGACATGTCTCTGCAACATCGCGTCAGGGGCGGTGCCGATGGAGTGGCAGACCGGGGTGGTGGTCCCTCTCTATAAGAAGGGGGACCGGAGGGTGTGTTCCAATTATCGTGGGATCACACTCCTCAGCCTCCCTGGTAAGGTTTACTCCAAGGTACTGGAGAGGAGGCTATGGCCGATGGTCGAATCTCGGATTCAGGAGGAGCAGTGTGGTTTTCGTCCCGGTCGCAGAACACTGGACCAGCTCTATACTCTCCATCGGATACTCGAGGGTTCATGGGAGTTCGCCCAACCTGTCCACATGTGCTTTGTGGATTTGGAGAAGGCGTTCGACCGTGTTCCCCAGGGTGTTCTTTGGGGGGTTCTCCGGGAGTACGGGGTCCGGGGTCCTCTGCTGAGGGCTGTTCGGTCCCTGTATGACCGGAGCCAGAGCTGTGTTCGCATTGCCGGCAGTAAGTCAGACCTGTTCCCGGTGAATGTTGGCCTCCGCCAGGGCTGCCCTTTGTCACCGGTTCTGTTCACTGTATTCATGGACAGAATTTCTAGGCGCAGCCAGGGGCCGGAGGGGGTCCGATTCGGGGACCACAGGATTTCATCTCTGCTGTTTGCGGACGATGTTGTCCTGTTGGCTCCAACGAACCAGGACCTGCAGCATGCACTGGAGTGGTTTGCAGCCGAGTGTAAGCGGCTGGGATGAGAAACAGCACCTCCAAATCCGAGGCCATGGTGCTCGACCGGAAAAAGGTGCCTTGCTCTCTTCAGGTGGGTGGAGAGGTCCTTCCTCAAGTGGAGGAGTTCAAGTATCTCGGGGTCTTGTTCACGAGTGAGGGAAGGATGGAGCGTGAGATTGACAGGCGGATCGGTGCAGCGTGCGCAGTGATGCGGTCGCTGTATCGGACCGTTGTGGTAAAGAGGGAGCTGAGCCGAAAGGCAAAGCTCTCGATTTACCGGTCAATCTTTGTTCCCTCCCTCACCTATGGTCATGAACTTTGGGTAATGACCGAAAGAACGAGATCGCGGATACAAGCGGTCGAAATGAGCTTCCTCCGCAGAGTGGCTTGGCGCTCCCTTAGAGATAGGGTGAGGAGCTCAGTCACACGGGAGGAGCTCGGAGTAGAGCCGCTACTACTCCACGTCGAGAGGAACCAGTTGAGGTGGCTCGGGCATCTGTTCCGGATGCCTCCTGGACGCCTCCCTGGGGAGGTGTTCCGGGCACGTCCCACCGGGAGGAGGCCCCGGGGAAGACCCAGGACACGCTGGAGGGAATATGTCTCTCAGCTGGCCTGGGAACGCCTTGGGGTCCCCCCGGACGAGCTGGAGGAAGTATGTGTGGATAGGGAAGTCTGGGCGTCTCTGCTTAGACTGCTGCCCCCGTGACCCAGCAACGGATGAAGCGGAAGAAAACGGACGGATATTTACTCATAAAATTATCCTTTGGGGAGCTTTGAAGAGGGTGGCAAGCTACTGTTAGCCTCCAAGCTGTATGTTTAGAGAGACAAAATAACAATTTCACTCCGCTCAATCATCATTTCCCTGCATGTAACGTCTGGGTCTGGTCCCTGTGTTTGCGATTACAATCGGTTGAATTCCATCCGACCAATCAGCGAGCGTTGGAGGCGGGTGTTGTAGTTAGATGTAGGTGACGTCAAGAGTTTGCGCCGAACGGGCAGGTTGTAGTTTGGCAATGGCAAAGAATGCGATAATAAAGTAATCCGGTCTGGTTCTATCAAGAAATTGAAGCCAGAGCAAGAGGAATGTTTAGCAAATGTAATTGCTGGCAAAGATTGTGGCGCTACTCCCCACGGGCTCCGTTAGCGGCAAAGAAAATGGCTACGCAAAATGCTAACGACTCATTCAGGCGTATTACAAACGTCACGGTAAACTCAGATCCAATCGTTTCAATCTGCAAAAGGAGTTAACCCCTCCCACCTGTGAACAGAGCTCAATGGAGCACCTCCAGACCTTAGTATGAAATGTAATTTGTACTATGGTGTGGTACGACCAGGCTGTAGAATATTAGTAACATAAAACTATCCAATGACAAAGGAATTGACAAATCTTCAGATACACTTACAATCAAAAAAAAGCTTACCATAACATACATTTCTATTTTGTGTCCAATATTCATGAGCATAATTATACATTTTTTTCTCTGTCCATTTCTGATACCAAACGCCGTATAAAGCCTGAGCAGTGTTTTTAGGTATGGAAGAACAGACTTACCCCATGAGAGGGTCCACTGCAATCCCTTTTGGATTGTACAGGTCCAGCTGTACGATGGTCACACAGGTCTCTCCTCTCCGATCGCAGACAAATATTTTATCATTCACTCGGTCGGCAAAGTAAAAGTTTCCAGTCAACCAGTCGATGGCCATTTGTTCCACATCTGTAATGACAAAACAGACTATTAAGCGCACCTGTATATGTAAGCCGCACTAGCTACATTTTAAAAGAAAGTATTTTCGTCTTCACATATAGGTAGATACATTCTGAGATTATATGGGCATATGCAGAGAATGGATGAAGAGAGATTGATGAAGAGAGCGATGAATAGCTGCATGAGGGGTAGTAGATCGAGAGTAAGTTAAGGTATGGGCGGAATGATGACGTTAAGAGAGAATTGAATAAGATAAGATAGTCCGTGGGGTCCAGTATAAAGCAGAGTTTTCGTACGGATTCAGATTCATTTTATTGGCAAAAAAACCAAAACAATGCAAATGCAGGTAATGGTGCGGATACACTAGGCCAGCCATTCCCAAACTCAGTAACACCGAGGCCCCCTTAAAAATATGACGGGTCTGCGTGGCCCCCCAAAATAATAACCAAGAAGACAACATTAAGAATAGGCTCTTCTGGTTATTTTATTTTGGGGAAATAGCCTCTGCTACAAACATTGTAATACAAAAATGATTACAGTGGATTATTCAAGTCAAATAATGAACACAAATATTTTAATATTACAAACAAAACATTATAAATTTAACATTAAATAATTATATTATTATTATTTTTTTTTTATGACCTCCCGCGGCCCCCCTGCAGTACCCTCGCGGCCCACCAGGGGGCCGCGGACCCCACTTTGGGAGACACTGCACTAGGCTAACTTGCACAGTTTTTTCCGATGTGGTTTCACTATAAATGGCGGTGAATCATGAATTGAAGCCATATTGGAATACATTTGCAAAAAAGTCCCCAGTTCGCACCAGATGAGTACATAAATAAAATTAGGTTAAAAGTATGGAAATAAAACAAACTAAACAGGAAACAAAAGAAACAGTGAAATTGATCATTGAAGTGCAAGATCATTAAAGGGCTTTGTTCGGACTTATAACAGCTTGTGGATGACAGAGTGGCCGTCGATTGTGATGAGCTTGGTTTAATTGCTGTTTAGTTTGAGAAAGTTGGAGTCCATCTATGTTTCTATGTCGGAAAGTCAGTGTGTGATTGTGAAGCATGACTGGAGTGATGAATGGAAATGTCAGCCTGGGTGTCGGCAGAAAACGTTCAAATACAAGAATATAGAATATATAGATATGGGCCCAAAGGGAGTTGACTATTGTCCATGAATGTTGATAAATGTCCATAAATGTTGCTGAATGTTGAGTGTCCTGAATCATCACAGTTATTTTAGTTAGATCAGGTGTATCTAAACGTTTTCAACCCAGAGAGCTGCTCCTTTAAGCAGCCCTGGAGAAAAAGATGGTGATATTTGGTGTGAAAAAGCCAGATATTACAGAGTACATTCAGTATTTATCATTGAATATTTGCTACTAGTGCAGTAAGTGCATTTACAATATTATAATGAATAATACAATCTGAAATAGTTAGTGTAATATTTGTTTTGTTCATTTATAAATCCTTTGGCGAGCTACCTTGAAGGGGGTGAGTGAGCTACTGGTGGCCCCTAAGCTACAGGTTGGAGACCCCTGAGTTAGACCCTCTCAAAGTAATAGCAAGTACAGACTCTAAACCTCACTTACCGGACATGTGCAAGTCTCTCAAAGCACTGAACTTCAATCCTTAATTTATGTCAACCCAAGATGACTTCAGTCCATAGTCCTACTTGGAGCTAATGGGCCGGTGGCTTTTGGCACTTCGTTGCACTTCTTTTGAGGACACTTTATAGAAACCCTCTGTGTGCATTATTCACTCTTGTACCAATTATGATCTTCAATCTGCTAATGCACTCTCTTCACAATGTCTAACACGATAAAAGCCACCATATAAAGGCCTATTTAGTAAAAACTGAATGGAAGAAGATGTTAGAAGTTAGAAAGCTGCTTACAATAGAGCTTTTATGTGTCATGCATTATTTAAGACACAGTTAACATGGCAGAAGCAGTTAATGATGTTTGCTACACTTATTTGTCTTTTGCTCGCCTCAGTCTTTTTGACAGCAAATCATCTGCCTCATTAGCACACACAGCAGATAACATTTATGCCACAAAGTAACTGTGTGTATCAATGTATACCTGAGACAAAGTAGGCTCAACATTATAGATGTATAAGTATGACAAGCTCTCTCCAAATCCCTATTCCACTTGACCAATGTCTAGTATAGAAAATAGTTGAACTGACAGACATGCACTACGTATTGTTATGCTGCTTTAGTTGTAGCTGTCAATGTATATATTTGTGTCCAACGTGTAAAATAAGTACATAACTTTGCATAATGTACTTATGTTTATAGGGTGGGCCATGAATATTTTTTCCGTTCCCACTTCACACTGCAATACTAAAATTAAGGTTATATCAAGGAATACATGTTTTCTTTTTCTCTTGCATACCTGTATACATGTAAACTCTGAAACTCAATTTATCCGGGGAGCAGTCTGGTTACCCCCAAGCATAGGCCCATGGGGGTTTAAAATGTACCTATATTTCTCTTGTGTGTAAATTTCTCCTGTGTGAGATCAATAAAGTCTATCTTATCTTATCTTTAACTTTGATGTGCAGCAGTAGAAGAAAAAGGCCTGCATGCTGCATCTTTTAATCCCAGCTTTAAAGGTAAAGCTGCACTTTATTTATCCCCGTAGTGCAATTCATCCTCTGCCCTGTTCCGACCGGGATTCGAACCCAGGACCTTAAGGTATAAGATCTCCCTAAATACAGTACCTTTGACATGAATGTGTATCACATTGACAATGGAATGTGACTGTTCCAACTTTCTGAGACAAAATACCAAGATTTCAGTGAGTTCCAGCACGTCCTCCTAACTGAGAGTGTTTCCATGACAGCGGTATGTAATGTTGTTCAAAAAATCATTTTAACCACTTGTTGCATAGGTCAAAACCCCTGGAGACAGGCATGGACAGAGGAAAAGATTTTCTTTAAAGTATTAGAGAAAGGAGCAGCCAGACGGTTTTGAAGGAGAGTGGGGAGCACAGGTGAGTGTTTGTGAAAACCATGGAGGCCGACCTGTCATTAAACACACACACGCACACGCACATGCACATGCACACGCACACGCACACGCACACGCACACACACACGTCCACCCACACACACACACAATAAAGCTTGACCGAGGGAAAAAACAATGTGAGAGAACGAGTGTTGTTTAGCGTGACTGAAGCCCAAACATGTGAACAATGGACTTTGCCTCGCAGCTGAAAGGTGTGAAGTAAAAGTATTTCACTAAGTAGGAGTGTAGGACCTTGTTTGAAAGCCAGCTACTGAAAGTGGACATTGTTGTATCCTTGGGCAAGGTTTTTCACGGTCTATACACTATGTTTCCAGGAGCAGATGAAAATAGCTGGTTAGAGAAGTTCCAAACACTTGAAGAGTATGTCAGTCCTTTGTCGGTGTGTGAACGGAAACCGGGCATCTCTCCATGCATCAATAAGACTGTGGCCTTAACTTTAAAAGCACGTTAATACTAGATTTACACTCACTGAAGCTCGCACAGTTCCTGCCCTATCTGTGTTTTATGTTTCTATTAGGGATGGGAATCAAAGGGCCAGACCAGAGGAACTGGGGAGAGCACAAACCGGACATTTTAAACATCTCAATCTCTATTTAGGAAAGTCTATATTCTTCATAACGTCCCCGCTATGATCATTCTAGTGAAAACATAAAGCAAAAAGCAAGGTTTCCTAAGATGCACAATTGGCACATTTGCAGGACTTTAGTTTTGTGTACTTAATTACTCCCCATTGACAGGCACTACAAATAAATTTGGCTTGTCTAACGACCATAGAGCACCCCGTGATTACATTGACTTTATGTCACAGCAGTTTTCTTATCATGCAACCAACCGTGCGTTGTGAGAGGGAGAGCAGTGTAGGGTCAGAGAGTGTTTGGGCCCGACTTGTCTGAGTGTACTTACTCACTTGATGCTAAGTGTACTGGGTGCAGCTCTGACTGCCACCTCCCTGACCCAGAAATGGATGGATGGATGGCATTTGATGCATTGATGCTAATGGGCTTCTATAGCGTGCTACAATGTACATACAGTTTTTTTATGATGATTTTATGCTTCCACTACATCTCTTTAAAAATTGAAATCAAAATGAGTTTGACACCCTTCTCTTATATACTAGGTTATTGTATTGCTATTCTAATGTGTTTCTTTTGTACTGTTCCTTTGGATGTTTTTTTGTTTTAAATCACTTTGTCTCTGTGTGCTAAATGAACCCGTTTTCAAAAACTGTTATTCTATAAAATGGTGTTGTAGAGGTTTTTAAAATCTTGATTGATCTTGATTGACTGACTGTAAATTGTGCCTATATTTCTATATTTCCCACCACCACTGTCCACACATGTATTTAAGCACTAGTTAACAGCACATACTCTGTAAGCTCCTCTGGGTCCTGATCTCACGCTCTCGGGTGAATCCGCGCAGGTTCCTGGTCTCCGCACAACGCAGGGCCCCAGAGCTCTCAGTGGACAGGAGCCAGCAGACGGTCTCCTGGCTCTGCTGAAAGTCCAGCCACACGGAGCCATTGGCAGCCAGGGACCGGAGGGGCTGCAGGCCGGTGCCGTTCAGGCTGGTCTGGACAATCCGACTGGGGCCCCCTAGTAAGAGCACTGGTCTGCTGTCTCCAGGATCTGAGGAGAGACACAGGGACAAAGCGTTTAGGTGCAAAATTCTCCATTATACATTCTTTCAGCATGTGCTTTTTGTATAGTGCATGATAACTATTGCAACAACACATCATCAGTAAAACAGCTTTGTACTGTGTGTTGCAACACTCATATTTCCCCACAGTGAGACCAATACTATTTATCGGATGTGCCCATGTGAATTGTGTGTATTTGAACTTTAACTTTTAACTGTACAAAATGACTTAAAGCATGTAAAACTGGGTGTGAAGATGGAAGCTTTGTCCTGAATCATTTGGTGTTTCAGATTATGTGGTTGTGTTCAGCCCAAGGACAGCTGGTTTGCAGAAACATATTCGTATCTGTTCAGAATAAGGAGTTGATTATGATCGTCAGACCAAAGAGGACAGGCTCATGAACTTCAGACTATTGGCTCGCTAATGTCAAGTCACACTCTACTTATACTGCAGTTACTCTGTAGAGGCACATGGCCCATCTCTGGTCCAACTACAAAAGCTCTAGTCGCTTCTAAGAAAGCCAAGATGGACTTGTTCCATCAGCTTCTGCAGACTGTCCACCCCGGCCCGGACTCGTGGAGTCCGTTCTCTTTCTTGCCTTAATCCTGGATATATGAACACACACTTGCATTTCTTGTTTATTGTTATGTTTTATGTCAAAAGTCAAATCAAACTAATGAAAAGAGGGTAATTTGTAAAAATGTTTCAGTCTTCACAGCTTTGTATCTTCACTGAGCTGTGTTCTCAAATTAGAATCACTGATTCCTTAATTTTAGGTTCTCTTTTTCAGGTGAGTCCTGGTCCCAGAGAGAGTGGCAGGGAGCAGGGAGGATCTTTACTTTCTTTTTTTTTTTGACTAAAAGTTTTTAGTGGTAGGGGAGACCGGAGGAAACCTACACAGGGAGAACATGCAAACTCCACTCAGAAAAGTCTGGCAGGAGAATCAAACCATTGAGCTTCTTGCTGTGAAGGAACACATTCAAAAGTGTGTTTAAGAAAATTAATTAAATCAAGAATGTGATTTGAGAAAATGTTTATTAATTTGTCAAATTGGTGCTGGTTAACGGTCTGAATAATATTTCACACATAATCTAACACAAGTATGGTCTACTTCTTAGTTTTCCAATCTAACGATTATATTTGCAGGGAGCAAAAATGTCTGCTATTTAATAGTCTGTGTTTTGACATGAAATAAAACAAACAACTTTGGACCCAAGCATTCATGAATTAAAAAAAAATAAAACGTGTCGAAGCTTCCAGAGCAATAATAAGCGTTGCCAAATCAATATGCTAATTATTGAACACTGTGTCAAACCCCAAAGGAAAAGCCACGAGGCAAAAAGATATTAGCTTCAGGGGAAGAATAGTGTAAGTCATATTTGACAAGAATTTAGCATATTCTGATTTTGTGCATGGCTAAGCATTGTGGATTATTCACACAGACTTGAACCAAAGAAACATACTTGTAATCAACATTGAAGAAAGTTTAAGAAAAGAGCTGCAATTTAACTAAAAGCCAATAATCAGCATTCCAGAACTTTCCTTTTTTCTTTTTAAACGTCTGACAAACTGGTTTGCTTTTGTAACTTCCTGAAACAAAGTTGACCGTAAACTTTTTTTGTTGTCTTTTTTTGCAGTCTTCTTGTAACCATGGAGATGTTTCTTCATGGTTCATCTATAGTGCACATAAAGTGTTTACTATTTGTACTTTCAGTGTTGATTGCCTTTGCCTTTATATATATTCTATATATGTATATTCTTGAAAAAAAATGTTGTACTATCAAAAGAATATATCAATCTTCATCTTTGGAAAAGTTTTCATCGGGTCAAATTTTACACAAAATCATGGACAAATAACAGACATATTTAGCCTTACCTCTAAGGAGAGGTCATGATAGAAACGCAGGACATATTGTTCCGGCAGCTGAATAATATATAAATATTATATTTATATGTTTTATACATACAGAAGCAAAAAGACAAACAGCATACATTTCTGTTTCTGTTTCTTCCCTTTCATAAGCTCATGTTACACCAATGCCTTAATAACTAGGGAAGTCTAACTCTAAACTTATATGTTTTTCATCCCCCCCTCCTCCCCTCTCCATACTTTGGCCTTTGGAGACATTTAAATTAATTTCTTTTTACAACTAGTTCTAACCCTGTGTACATGCTAAATGAATATTGATGCATGTGAACGCTGGGTTCAGTTAAGTTTATGGGTAATCATATTCTGTTTATTCCTCGTAGGACTGCAGTCAAATTGATTAAAAGCACAGTCGCGGCGACTGTCCCCAGCTAGGTGTAATGTGCCTCTAGCCATTCCCAACCCATATATATGACAAATTCTCACACATACATCTAATACACTTTGTAAAAATAATAAACAAAGTTAGTGGAAGGTTAAGCTTGTTTATTTGTAATTGCGAGACCACCTGAATACAATGACCGCTTTTCCTAAGTAGGCTATTTCACACAATGGCACAGATTTGTTACACGAATAAGGCATTAGCATAAATCAAGGGTGACGCTAGCTATTGTCCGCGAAACAAAATGCTCCCACTTAAAATCTCGCGCTCATTAATTTTATCATTATGCGGCCAGACCACGTCTACCTGCTCCGGAGCGGTGATAGATGTGGTCACTGCAAACATGCATTAATCTTTTCCTATAGAATGGAGCCTGTTAGCTTTGTATGGATGCTGGAACAAAACGTGAATTATGGATTATCTATTTTAGCATTCATTAAATTGGTGTCTTATTTGTATGTCAAAAATCAAATCAAATTAATGAAAAAAGGTTGCTACACACAACTTTTAATTTTCCAGACTTCAGCTTTGCACATCTTCACTGAGCTGTGTTTTTGAAATTTGATGAAAACTATTGCATATCACTGATTTCAAAAACACATCTCTTTTAATGAAATAAACATTGAGGCATCCCTCCAGAATCAAGATAAGATAAGATAAGAGTTCCTTTATTTGTCGCACAGTAGGTAAATTCCAATGTTGCAGCGCACAATGAGACAGTTGAGACATCGCACAATGAGACAATGAGACAATGTCTGCACACAGGAAGCAGACAGAATATACAAGTAATAAAGTAACTAAGATTAGGAAAGATTTTTGGGCTGCACCACACGCTGCGTGGCCTTAGTCCTCTTTCTGTAGCTTAAATCCTGGATCTACAGCCCGTCTGTCCGAGTGGAGCGGATCCCTCTCTTAATGTAGATCTCCCTGAGGTTTCTCACTTTTTTCCCACTGGGTTTTAGAGTTTTTACTCTGAAGCAGGAGGGTCTGTTAGACTGTCAGAGTCTAACAAGAAGGACTTTACATTCCACATTTGGACACTTCATGGACATTGGTCAAACTCCCTATTTCAACATTTTCTTTGAGCCCTTTGAGATGACTGCTGTTGGGATTTAGGGCCATTCAAGAATAAATGTAATTGAATTGATTAGATTTATCTTATTTCAAACTAAGATAGATGGATAGATAGATAGGTAGATTGCCTCTATCTATATCTATCCAATTCAATTCCATCACGCCACAACAGTAGTGATCTCGGAGGACTCAATCGTTGAATTTCACCAACGCTGAATGGAGAATCTAACAGAAAACACACTGGTATTGGTCCATAAGGGGCAGATGTCCTTAAAGGTTGATGAATGATGAGTGTCCTGGATCCTCTAACAGTCTAACAGATCCTTCTGCATAGACCAGGAAAAACTCCAAAGCCCAGTGGGAAAAGTGAGAAACCTCTGGAAGGCCCACATTGAGAGAGGGATCCGCTCCCACGGACGGACGGGCTGTAGATCCAGGACTGAAGTCACAGCACAAGGATCATCGACTGTATCTATCCTTTTACCTTCCTTCAGGATATGACTCATTCCGGGCACCATTATCAATTTGATCGGATACGTTAAAATTGGTAAAATGCTGTCGTTGAATTCTGTAACAATTCTATGATCAACATTCAGCCATTCTCATGTTTGTCCCAGTAAATGTAAATGGTCACCGCTTTGACATGAATGTGTTTTTCTTTCTTTTCATTTATTCATCCAAAACTGTTCTGCAAAAACTTGAAAAACAAATTCAGATGAAACAAGAACATTTGGTTATACTAAACAAAGTATATTGGTTAAAGCTGCACTAACTGACTTTATTTTCGTATTCATTACGAAAATGCTATCCATGTCCATGTAGTGCATTGGGATATACGTCCTTTTGAAGAATAATTAGCGCAGATTTGTGCTGGCGTGACATTATATTTTAGATCGAGTTTTGATGAAACAAGGAAGAGAATGTGTTTCGGGTCGCAGATTGTGACCAATCACAGCGGACCAATAGCCCCCACTTTCGTGAGAAATCTACAGGTCCGTTAGCACAGACAGCTGAGTTAGCAAAACAAGCGGCGGAGCTAACCTGAAGCTTCGTGTCTTCGTCACTGGTTACTGCTTACTTAGCGAAACAGCCATCCAAAAGAAAGTCCCGTTCCTCCGCGCTTCCCGGTTCTATCGTTTTATGGTCACGCCATCCACGTGCAAATCCATATTCATGTATTATCCATATTGGGAGACACTAGCTTCGTCCCAACAGTGAGTGTGTGTGGGGGGCGATAGCTTCGTGGGTGCGGGGAGGGGAGCAGAAAGAGAGAGGCCAGCGGGTCCACGGCTTCAAAATCCCAAAGTCAGTTAGTGCAGCTTTAAGATCGGGCAGATACATATAATAAGAAAAAAAAACACAATAATTCATAATTATTATTATTGTTAAATTCAGACTCAAAATGAATTGGTCCATATAAAAAGAAGAAAAGGACAATGCTCTACAGCAGGGGTGCTCCCACTTTTTCAGCATGCGAGCTACTTATAAAATGATCAAGTCAAAATGATCTACCTACTATAAAAATGCAAAACATATATATATTTCTAAATATATTGAGGATTCTTTATATCTACAATGTATGTTGATGTACATGCAAAACCGCATGATTTATGAAATAATTTGCATTTAAGCACCGCCTCTGGCGGTCATCCAGGATTCATAGAACCAAAGTTACATTCGTAACTTTCGTTCTGTAGAGGCACTGTCATAGTAGAAACGCAGGGTGAAGACGTGTTATTATAGATCCATGGTGAAGACATATGTTTACAAGCATTGACCCCAGTCCTCAGCCCTGGTTTGATCCTGGTTTATCTCCTGTTTTGGTTGTTTTCGAGCGTGTGTGATCACTTTGCTGCTCTCTGATGTGGAGCGAGGATCGCTGCTGTGAACTGCTGTTAAGGCTTAGTGATCAGAGGTCGCACGTTTTGTTTGTTGTTGTTGTTGTTTTGGGGGCAAACTGTGCCGTGCAAAAACGCAAAACTCCGGTTATCTCTGTCCACACGCAAATGCATAAACGGATTAAAAAAATATATATATGTAATGCGATCTTCCAATACTACCTTTGCGATCGACTGGTAGATCGCGATCGACGTATTGAGCACCCCTGCTCTACAGTTTATTCAAGCAGTCTTTCTTTATATAGTATACTTTGTTTTATATGCAAAGCTTGTCAATGTTTATATTCTCGGAGTAGTCCTGCTTCACAAAAATACAGGCTGATTTACATTTTCCAGCACACACACCAGGAGAAGAAGAAGGCCGCTGGTTAACCGTGCATGTGCGTGAATAATTCTCAACTCCACTACATGTGTGTGAATGAGTTTTGCGCTGACTCTCCTTGTCATTTACATTAATCTTTCTTGATAGATTGCACAAATGATGTGTTATCCGGTTACATAGGTATATAGTTGAACGAAGCTGTTTATTATTAGCAGTAGAAGATGCACGGTGTATGCAGATGAGCTTGTTTTTTTCCCCGGGTTGGCGCTCACCTTGCTTGGCTCGGCATGATCTCCCGTCAGGCTGGAGAGCGTATCCTTCGGCGCAGCTGCAGCGGTACGACCCATAGGTGTTGGAACAGGTCTGGCTGCATGCGCCGTACATGGCACATTCATCATGATCTTATGGAAAGAGAAGAGAAAAAACAAGGGGAAAAAGTCATTTGTAACGAATTATGTGTGTTCAAACATGACCCAAATACATAAAGTATACTCAATGTGGCCTTACTCCGCCACCTCAGGCGTAATTACTTTTTATAAGCAGCGGCGGCTTCTCATGTATGGATCAAACTCCTGCAGTACTTTGTTATAGCAAGTCAAAGGCGTATTTATGCAGTTTTATGTCGTGAGTATCCGGTTCTAAATAAGTCCCGACAAATCAAAAGCTGTCATATTTCAGGCTCAAAGCGTACGTGCCGAGAAAATGTTTCCTCGATCCCCAAGCGGAGTCTTTAGTCAATGGGCCGTCTGCTGCTATGATAGAGACCTACATTATACTCATTTGTTTGTAGTAGAGTGGGATGTTATTGCACCTCAGTTGTTATTAAGCATTATGTATGAGGGGTTTCATTAAATAAGATCATATACACACTCGGTTTAAGCATTTGGAGGATTTTATTTAGTTCTTTTTTGTATATTTGTGTTGTTTGTATATCTATTCTGTCTATTTGTGTGTTCTGTCTATTATGTGTTGTTGCCTTTTTTAATTTTTTTATTTAACTATTACAACACATTTCACATTGGTGCTTAAAATTTTTAAATTTTAAAAAAACAGAATGAGTGGTTTCATATGCATTTAAAGTAATATTTTTGACAAATGTTCGCAAGCACCATCGTATAACAAGACTAGGCAATGCTTTGTCATAGTTTAGATCAGGGGTTTCAAAATATTTCCGACCAGGACCCCCGCATAGTTATGAAAGAAACCTCCGCTGATCATGGGACCTCAATATCTCAGCCGTTCGACATGTTAAACTCAACTTATGTGAAGCAGGTTTCTCCCATTATGCTTCTTGCAAACGTTCTGACAACAAATGATCTCATTCGAGGGTAAACTGAAAACTAACTTTACATTTTCTTTATACTTTTTAGATCCTTAATGATTTCTTCTTGCACTTTGCTTTGTTAAGCTTGCAGACTTGCATTTTTGCTTATTTCCTCAATTCAAACAACCTAAATATATGGACCAAATATAGGTAGTATGATTATTGATTATAGTCTTTTCTTTTTAAATAAGGAAATGTATAAAAGTGATATTTGGTTTTTCTTTCAGACATTATAACAGCACTGTTGTATTTGCCATTATAAACGTCTGATTAATTATTGAGCATTCTCTTGTTTGTCACCTCAATTTAGGACGTTATTACGATTAGCCATTTACATTACAGGCGAGCTCTTTGGTTATTTGACAAGAGCAAGGGCAGCTGGTTGAGTATTGCATAGAGAATGCTTGGGGTGTGAGGTGATTTATTTTTTTTTCACATAAAGTCCGAGCTATAAACAGATGGTTTTTGCCCTGAGCTTCCTGTTTAACCATATGAAGGATGCATGGTCAATAAAGCACAGTAAAGCCCTATCAGAGAGAAAATGATGTCACCCAATACACCTACAACGGGATTATAGAATATTTTGGTCAAATGCAGAGAAATAAACATTGATATGATATGTATGAGCGGGTAATGGATACAGTGAATGTCTAGTGGGCAAGTCAAGCTGTTTGATATTCACTGGACTTAAATGTGGAATATCTACAAAAATACTATATACCAAACGTGCGAGATTACATTCAAGCATTACAAACTAAGAATAAATGTGGTTTTAAAAGGCAAATGTATTTTCATACGTTTCTCAATGACTGAGACATGTGTTACCATCAATACTGCAAGTAATCTATGTAGTGTAACACTCAGTTTTACCTAAATATGTTGGCCTACAAATGCTAATATATTATGAAACTTGTCTTTAAGTTCCACGTTAATCATGGACCAGAGCAGAACACAATACCAAAAACAATGAATCCACTGTTTATTATTTGCAAATATATAAATCTTTTAAACCAAGCTCTTAGAATAATCAATGACTCTTCTGGCCACCCTGGAAAATCCTTGTTCCAGCTTCTTCCTTCTTGCAGAAGATATTGTTCACTGATATGCAGGACATCTTGATATAATAGCTGCTTCTTTCCACAAGCTGTTATAAGTTCGAACAGAGCACTTTAGGGATCTTGCCTTTGTATTGAAACTGTTATTGTCGATGAATTTAACAGTGTCAATTGTTTCCTGTTTTATGTATAATTAACCTATTTTTATTTATGTACCTGTCTTGTGCACACTGGGGACTTTTGCAAATGTATTCCAAGGTTGTTTTACTGAAAATGGCAAATAAGTGAATCTGAACCTGAAATCTTGCCTGGCTAGCTCGCAACATGTAATACAATTGACATCATGATTTTAAGAAGGTATTGCAACAAATATATTCTGCTTTTGATGAGAAGTTTCACAACTGTTTGCTTGAAACCATCTGTGCTCTTGATTTACTGTGCATATTTTTCACTTTTGACTTCCAATAGTCTGTCCACAAGTAAAAAGAAGGTGGAAAATAAGAGATGAAACAGTGGAACAAAGGAAGCATAACACGGGAGAAGACAAGACATACATAAACATTACTTTCTATCCCCGCTTAGGAGCCAAAGCAAACCCACCTCGACAGCTCGTGCCATCGTCGCCGACCTCAAAGCCATCAGCGCAGAAGCAGAAGGTGCCGTTTCTCGTCATGATGCAGCCGTATCTGCAGCGGAGCTCGTGGCACGCTGACAGCAGCTCTGCAGGGGACAAGAAGAGAGGAAATATATGAGCACAAAAAAGCCATGGGAGGAGAGGAGGGGAATAGAGGAAAAGGGTTTCTGATTTTTTTTGGGGGGTGAAATTGCATTTAGGTCTCTCATTTCAGCCTTTTCAGGGGTTTCTTATCAGCATGAGCAAGAAGGGAAAATTCAGCTGACTCTTGGAGGTTTCGATGGAGGCTAAATTAGCTGAAAGTGCTATGTATGAGTCAAGATGCAAACAAAAAGGCAAACTTCCTAAAAAAAAGTACACAGGTTTTTGTCAAGTATTGCTAAATGCCATTGAACTAGAGCGTCAGTTTTCCAAAGAAACTAAACAGGGGTCAAACAAAGACTCATATGTGTGTCTGTCATGTTGTGCAGCATATACCTACATTGCTTTTACAGTATGGAGTAAACCACACTCGTAGAGCACAGTCCTCCACCTAAAGGCAAATATTTGTGTGTAGTGACTGTTATAGCACAACTAAACATCCAATTGGAGTACCATTTCTCTGCACACACTGTTTGAAGGAGTACAATACACAAAACTCCTACTTTCACTTTGCCAAAATACTTAGTTAGTTGGTTAGATTCATTTTAAACCCACAGAACACAATTTCACTTACTGGTTTGTAAAGGGGTTGGATGAAACTAATGCTTTTTTGTTCCCAACCCGCTCCCACTATTCAACACAATGTACAGTATACACAGAATACAATGTAGTTAATCAACATACAATATCGATATAATTTTGATACTGTGCACTAAATACCATTATATAACATGCTCTATCATGGGGTATTAGACACACACAACACCCAAACACACACACACGCCCAAACACTCTCTGACCCTACACCTCTTTCCCATCCCCTGCTCTATGTGCTGAGGGCATTACTCTCTCTCCTCCATGTGAAGAATTAGAAAAAGACAAGATGAGCACAATTTGACATTTAACTTTGAACTGATGCCAAAATGAGAGATTGAGATGAGAGATATTTAAGTTGGAAGCTTGATCTTACATGTAGGAAGCTATACGCAACATCAAGCTGCCACTGAAAAGGTTCTAATTAATCCACCATCATTATTTGTATTTGTAAATCTGCTCTTAAAAACGTAGAAATAAGCACGTCTTGATTGACAAAAAAGGAAGGAAACTTTAAAAAGACATCCATGTGACTGATTTATAACACACCCCCAGTTCATAAGTTCCTTCTGACGATCTCAATTTTTCATGAACGCCGTTGATGAGAGCAGTTCTCTAGTAATAGCAGCCTATGTGATCCTGTTACACTTGACACACTGATTGACTGTCGCACCCAGAAAAAGACAGAGCCCTTATTTCGCCAGTATTTTTAGTCTCCGTGCAGTTTCTCACAAAAGTTGAGTAAAAGGAACAAAGGCAATTACAGCACTATGGAATACAAAATGAATAACACAGTTGAATCTAGAACAATTATAACAAAGTCTTAGCAGCGATGATACAGTGTCACTAGAGCGTTAATTAAACTTGATTTGAAAGAGAAGAAGGACAAATGGTTCTTTATGATACAGAAGGAACTTGAATGAAAAGAAACACTGCCGGTTGCTCTATTTATACATTTGAATTAGTAGTAATTTGTCCATCACCGTTATGTCTTATCCGAATACATTTTGCCTTAATCCTTCCAAAGCTGAAAATACATTTAAATTGAGTGTGGTTGAACTTGTCATCCATAATCACAGCAACAAAGAAAAATCCTGAAGACAATTCGGACGTTTAACAACATATTTCACAATGATTTAGTCAGTATATGGTATTTATGCTGTCTGTAAAGTTCTGCAAGACTACTTTCAAATACAACTAAGAACAAATATAGTTTTATAAAGTTTCTTACTAAAGTTTGAATGACAGCCTCATTTCAGAACAAAAGGTGAAGAAGATCGAGCAAACAACATTTTATTGAAATGGTAAACGGCCAGGAGCCTTTGGTCTTCCATCACCAGGGGAGGAGAGTTTATGATTCAGTGCGCTCGGGTCAACAGCAGGTAATAGTGCTGCTGAAGACGGAAGATCAAGATGGCGGCACACAAGTGGGTGAGAAGTTTGTGAGTTTGATTCCCTTCTGCCTGGAGTTTGCATGTTTCTCCTTGTGTCTGAGTGGATTTCCTCCAGGCACGCCGGGTTTCCCCCAGCACCCAATACATACATAATAGGTAAAATCACAGCCATAGTCCTAACCAAGATGAATATGTGTGTGACCAGTGTGGGCGGGTCAAGGCTCCAAAAGGTTCATGAGCACGTGTGCTGCTGACATGCTTGGAATCTTGCTCTGGGGTGGAGGGGGTGTACCCGGAAAGACAATTACCCAATGCTTTAGTACGGTGTCTTCTTTCCTCTTGAACACTTCTTTACAGGATGATCCAATGGTCGGCTCTTGGTTCAGCGCTATGTTCCAGATGCTGACGATGCTGAGGGGAGTATTATTATTTTTGGACCAGTCTAGTTTAGCTGCTGTGGACTTTTGAATGCACTCGTTAAAAGAATGGGACTCATGCCGGCAAAATTCGAAGAAAATTTTGAATGAGAACATCACTATACCATACTATTATTTGAGCATATTCGAATTGATTCCTAAAAGGACACTGCAGAGTCAGAAAGGGCTTTACAATTTTGGGCATTTGTCTCTCACTCCACACAGAGATGGGAGCCAGAACTATTGTACATGTTTTAGGTGGTGGGGGAAACTGGAGAACCCGGAAGAAACCTACACTGACACAGGTAGAACATGCATACTCCACCCAGAAAGGCCCTGTTCTGACCGGGATTTGAACCCAGGACCTTCTAGCTGTGAAGCGAGAGTGCTATTGACTGTGTCTCGTGTTTTATGAATATAGCACACAGTGTCATAGACATTGTTTGGCCTTGGGGCTCTGGCAGACTGCAAGCAAATATCTGATGCGAATGTGGTAACATGAATAAATGTGATTATTTATACATTACGCACACATTAAATCAGCACAGCTTTCATTTTTAATTCATATTTGTGTATGCGCATACACATTCTTCATTGTAACATTGGCTAATTGATATTCCCTCTCAGGGTTTATTAGAAAATAGTCTTTTTACACAGAAAATGAAAATAACACATCATGAAAATTGGGTTAGAAACTACATTTATATCTTTGAGACAAGATTTATTAAGCTTTGAAAAAAAATCTGCTGACTATTATCACCTATGTTGTACATATACATACTGTACATTGCATATTCATCGTTTACAAACTCAAACGGATTTTAGTGACTAAATAAAAATCATTATACGTCCCTTTACATGTACCAGCAAATACAAAGTCTTGGAAGAAGGTATTGATTTGGATAATGGAGTAATATATAATGTTGCTGTTAGTTCATCTGTCAGTATCAGATTGTAATTACATCTGGAAAGTCTCAAGACAAAAGATGCATTAGAATGATACTTATTGAGTTATGTTTGCATGGAGTGTATTGGTTTCTACATGATTAGACCGCAGACATTGATCAATCAATCAATCATCCACCATGGAAATAAATGATGTATTGCATTTGGAATGGAATGTTTGATACCTTTGGGGATTAAACCCGTGGCAGAAAACTACATAACATGCAGGAGGAAAGTGGTTGGTCTTGTCCAACCATTTTTCAAAGAGCTACTTCTACACAAAGGAATGGCACAGAGCTAATCCTTTTTGCAGTCAAAAGAAAACCTAAATAAATCATTCAGAATCATGGGTAAAACTTCTGAATCATTTGGGGAGCAACCAGAAAAGGGAGGGCGAGCTATGTGTAGCACTCAAGCTACAGGTTGGAGATTTCTGATCTAGAGATTCTACACTGATGAAGTGATGGAGATGAGGTGGGTTGCTAAACAAACAGCAGCTTGATGCAGAGACTGTGCGGCACTGTTTAACTGCAGCAGGTGTGTTGAAGAGTGAGGTTTCAATTATGGCCACAACAATAGTTTTCACTTTTAATTTTCACTTTAGTTCCATCACTATATGTGACACAGACCATTCTTTGGTCAGTTTGGCACTATAGCATGAGAACAAAGGATTATAAATATACATAGTATTTCCATTGTTCTGTACCTTATTACATTAAATGGCATATAAAGTCCACATATTGACTTTGATTCACAAGCTTGATACATTATACATTCTGAGAGATAAACACAGCCGAGGCCTTGCTTCCCGATGAGCTCTGAAACTGTCCACCAGTGCCCGGCCCACTGAGACTTTCCCAAAGTTCTTTTTTTATCAGCACTTCCCTGACCTCGGCTTACCCCCAGCAGACAAAATCATTTCCAAAGCACCAAACAAGTCCAAAAGGTTAGTGAGGTTCTCAGCCTTTCAAAATGTCACTGTAAATGAAATTCCTTCTGTCAGTCACTGCGATGGAGATGAAGAGACAATCGTGTGATCGAGAATTCGGCTTAGCTAGCAAACTTAAACACTGCTAGCTAGGCTTTTAATTAAATAATTATATGAAAAAAGGATGACACCCGCACACTGTCTAACTTGCAAACACCAGTGGTTTATTAGCAACGTTTCGGCCAAAAACGTTGCTAATAAACCACTGGTGTTTGCAAGTTAGACAGTGTGCGGGTGTCATCCTTTTTTCATGTTTGGCCACCTTGTGCGCGCCCACTCCTACGCACCTGTCATAGAAGAGATGTGCGAAGTCTACCTCTTTTAACAATTAAATAATTATACAAATATTGCAATCAAACCTTGATGATATGTGTTCATCTTTGCCACTAAACTATCATTAGATTTCAATCTCGAAAGACTTAAGTGGACTCCCTTGAAAAATAGGTTTTTAATCTCAACGGAAGAACGAGAAGGTTCTGGTTTCGAATCCCGGTTGGAACAGGGCCTTTCTGAGTGGAGTTTGCATGTTCTCCCCGTGTCTGCGTAGGTTTCCTCCAGGTACTCTGGTTTCCCCTACCTCTAAAAACGTGTGCAATAGTTCAGTGTGAATGAGTGTGTGTTTGTGAGTGCGAATGTGGGACAACGGGTGCAATCCGGAGTGATGTGCTCATTAACATGTACTGTCCCAACCAAATAAAACATAAATTGAAAAAACGGATGTTTCCTGGTCAAATAAAATAAATAAATAAAACAAAGATCCATTAGAATGATTGTAGCCGTATTATTGGGCATTTGAGGGCTAGCAGACACAATGGGCCTCATGTATTAAACTTGCGTACGGCCAAATCAGGGTGTAAATGATGCGTACGCAACATATTTACACTGTTCCGCATTTATCAATCTGGACGTGAGCGTACGATACGCACAGAATTTACACCAAGTCAATAGGTGGTGTAAATGTGTACGCTCATTTCAACCTTCATTACAACACGCCAAAACACGCATGAAATACAAATATGCAATTTTACAATGTTATGTTAGGGCTAGTTTGTGTTATTAAATAACGTGCAAGATGTCAAACTTAGTCTCCCACAAATGTGTGGATTGTTATATGCACCTATCAGTGCGTAATGGCTTTGGTTCATGCGGGTCCAAGCAAAGACGCGCGCCACAGTGGAGCGCTGCGCGGGTCTGATCAGGCTCTGGGACATGTAGGTGGTACGCTCTGGTACCTCCCGGTGCAAGTGTGCCACATGGTCCTGGCTCGGTTCTCCACAACAGGCACAGGACCACAGTGCCACTGGTGGAGCAGCCCATGGATGAGAGACCATGGCCAGCACCGCCTTCAGCCTGTACAGCTCAGACAGGCTCTCATTCAACCATTTTAAAATAATAATCACAAACATAATTTGAAGATAATTTCATTTCTTTACATTTTCTATTGGATGCTTTGGTCTGGCGGTCCTCCCCCTGGGCTGCGCTAAACGCCTTTTTGTTACCATTTTAAGGTTGCTCCCTTTAATTTCACTTGTAGCATAAATTAATGAATTCTTACTATTGGCCCAATATATCAACTGTTTGATATAATATAGCGTATTTTTCTTCGAACATGAATATACTCACCTCTTCAGGAGTGCGTGTTTCAGGCCCCACGCTGTTTACAGATGCTGTCATTTCTTTCCATATATTGTTTTTTGAGCCCCTTGATGCCACTTTTGAGAATTCCAAATAGTAAGACTTTATTCTTTTTCCCACTTCGTTCATAATGGTCTCAATCTCCTGATCCCTGAAGTTATTTTTCCTTAGCTGTTTACTCACTAACCAGAGCCAGCGCCGTATACGTAATTACACATATGTTTTGCCTCATTCACCTCTGGCAAAGCAATGTGGGTTTTCCTTAGTTTTGCGCATAAAGCCCCATAAACGCAATTGATCTTGCTCAAAACTGCTCATCCACTGCCCTGTTCTCAGCATAGCAGAGATAGGATGCAACGTGCTTACTGTATGTGGGTACTGGTTCATTCATTCATTTATTATTTATTTATTTACTTTTATAATATTTTATAATATTGCTAGGCGTGACTTTCATAAATACGCTGGTTTTGAGCGCGGCATTTATCAACAGCCACAGGTGCGTACGCTCAGATCTGTGCGTATCTCACACATTAATAAATGCCACGTCGGATCTATATATATATATATATTGAATATACACCCAAAATATACACCCTTTTCTACGCAACTTTCATACATGAGGCCCATTATGTGCAACAACATTTTTTTCAATCGGTAAATGAAATGATCAATAAGATTTGGAAATTAGACCCCATGCAGCAGATATATTTCATATCTGCAAGGAGTTAGTTAATAGAAATCATGAGATGGTGAAGTCCCCTTGGCCTAAACCCTGGTAACGATGGATGCTGAGCTGAAAAACATGGCGCTTCCTCTGGTGGCACGGTGTTGATGGGGAGGAGGTGGGTTGCTGTACAAACAGTCGTGAACTGATGCTGATGAACACAGTGTGGCAGGTGAGAGTGCACAGTGAGAAACAGTCTCCCAGTAAGGCAAGGCAATGCAAGGCAAGGCAAGGCAAGGCAAGTTTATTTGTATAGCACAATTCATACACAAGGCAATTCAAAGTGCTGAACAGAACAAGAAAGCATTAAAATCATAAATAATCACAGTACATAAAAAAAAAAAGATAAAAATATAAAATCCCTCAGTTGTATGCACAGCTAAACAGAACCGTCTTTAACCTGGTTTTAAACATTGTCAGAGAGGAGGCCTTTCTCACATCTTCAGGAAGACTGTTCCAGATTTTAGAAAGAACGTGTGAACCGCTTTGTACTTCCCATCATACACTGGATCAGAAACTTATAACCTAACCTGTCATGAGACAGACAAGTCCCAGGCTGTTGTATAGTGCTGACAATGTGATTGATATATGAAAATTGCTTTTAACATGGATGAAGCACAGGCTTGTAAACTTTACTTTGAGCATGATATTTTGCTGTGGTCGTGTGTGTGAAGGGGAAACAGCAGCATTCACACAGTTTTATTGACTTTTGGTCTGGACTCTGAAAGTGCTCATGTTTTCCCCGAGCTGCTGCTGTGTGATGATTCCAGGTGTTCTTCAACTGTCTACGCTCATCTGCACTCAAACAAGCCTATTTCATATGATGGTTCTATGTATCTGCACCAAACTGTGTATGATTGCGGCGAGTTGCAAGTTTTCATGTTTTCGGTTTACGCTTTTCCCCAACCACAAAAAATATGTAGTTTTTAAGATTTCTTGTGATCTAAATGTTTGTTTACAAAGTCCTGTGGGATTTTAATTGTATTTTTAAGTTTGTATGTAGATATTACTGTTTGTGATTTATACCTGATGTGATATGGGTTGTGAGGCGCTTTGTGTTGCCTTGTATAGGAAAGGGATTTTACAAATAAAAGTTAACTAATTGATTGAAAGTGCTTTGTGCCTGTGAAAGATGCTATATACATAAAAATCATTTGCGTAAACCATCAACAGGTGTGATTTTACCTGCACGGACACTGGCGACTGGTTCGGATTGATAATTTATTGACTGCAAAAAAACAGAAATACAGCTGTAACTTTCGGCAGCGATACTAACGGCCATATTGCGGCCTTCAAGTTAGCGCATGTTGCGAATGGGAATGAGAGTGGCAGGTTAGGACTGGCACTGGGATGTTGGAATAATCTTTAGCCCCTGTGCAGGTGAAGTTAGTGCGGCTGGGTGGGCACATTGTCACTGTGTGCATTCTCCGTCTGTCACATTAGCACATGAATAGCTCGGCATAAACACACACCATGCCCCTTTCGGACCACTGGGTACGTCCATCAATCACTCCGTTTTTCGAAAGAGAACACAACATTTAAAAGGAGAATATTGCATGCGTCCAAATGACACCAGAACATTCCATAGAGCCTAGATAGTTTCACACTGTGATGGAGGGCAGTTGTAAATCTCCCCTGGTTACTTTGATAACTACTCGTCTTAGTTTAGAGTTAATTTAGCTGTAATTACTGGGGTAATCCAAATTAAATAAAACCTGTCACAAAGATCCACATCTTCTTTAACAGGAAAAATCAACTATGGACTAATTGATGGTGATTAAATCAAGTGTATAGAAGTGGTGGCAGTAACATTAGCAAAACATTCATATAGTTTATTTGTGTATTTTCTTAATAAAATATTTAATTTACTCAAACATGGAAAGCCAAATTAAATGTCACTTATTGTATTTGTTTACTCTACTGTACTACATTTCAATGAACCAGCGCTGCATTGGCTATAAGCACCATGACACATGCATGTTATTGATGTATGATAATTTATGTTCCCTGTATCTGCCCCTATACAAAATAATAAAGAATAATAACAATAACATTTGTGGGCCTAAAGGAACACATTTTTTGATATATATTTTTAATAGTCTGAAATAAAAAAATAATAATAATAAAGGAAGTGTGTCAGCCTTCAATAACAATGCGCAAAAACAATCTGGAGTCTTGCAAAAATACCCGCACTTGGTTTAATTGGTCTGAAGCCCAGATATTTTTGTCTCCAAATTTTTAAAGATTGTAGAAATGAAACACCAACTTTAATCTTTCATTTAGACACACACAAAGTTCCATGACAGACTAAAGATATATACAAGAAAAACAGAACACCACCCACACATACATAACTACCCACACATAATATAACTAAATGTGCCTACTGCAATATACGTAATTGTATAATGGAACAGAACATGCAAAATATACATATTTTTTCCAAAACATTTCAAACATTCTGAAATGAAAAAGATAAATAGAGGAAGTGTGTCAGCCAACAGTAGGGTTCAATAACAAAGTGCATCCCGACCAATTTTGTTTACTCACACTCCGGTTTCGCCTGTGGACC